AAGTGCGGCTTGGTGTTTTCTCGCCAAAACGCATTTGCGTAGCCTGCAGGTTTTGCAGAACAGAACCTTGCGTACAATCACTAACGCCCCATGGTATGTTTCCAACGAGACCCTTCACAGAGACCTTGACATTCCTTACCTAAGGGACTACATCAAACAACAATCGCAGCTACGTTACAGTCAAGCAGAATCGCATAACAACCCTTTGTTGCGCGAGTCAGTAGACTACACAGTCGAGCAAGTTCGCAAGCACACAAGGCCGCGACTCGCACTGTGAACAAAATTAAATCGTGCGACTTTAGGTCCAACCAAAATTATAATTTTTCTTCAACAACCAATCCCAAAATTAATTTTAGGATCAATTTAAAATTGCCGAATACTAACTAGCAATGCCAAGGCACCCCTCAAATTGATGCACTTCTTTTTTCTTTGCTCTCCCTCCTTCCTTCCTTCCTTCCTTTCTTCTTCCCTTCTTTCTCCCTGACTTTGTTTGGTATCTGGGCAACCAGACCTGACAGACCTACTGACTTACAAGACTTCAACCAAGAGCAAAGGTCCTACGGACCGCTCTGACAGATAATGACGAATAGTAGCGTTGCTGCATTATTGTAATATCGTATACTACACATGTTTAGACAATTTCACCAAAAACGTTGTTCAAGTTATCCAAAACAATTGTATACCATCTTTGGCTTAAGTAAATTTGATCATGTATCATCGAAATATCCCGTTCTAAACTGGTTCAGAATTAATGACCTGCTCAAGTAACACTATTCAGTTTTTGTTCAGAAACAGCTACTCACGTCTAAACCCTCTTACTTGAGGGAAAAAATTTCATTTGATAATGACGTTCACTGTAGAACTCTCAGAGAAAACAATATTGTGAGAGCAGATCATCATCATCATTTCTTTTATCGGTGTTTTTATACATTTTCGTCAACAGGTACCACAATATCTATACTAAGTGACATATAAATCCGAACACCCAGTTTAAATGGTTTTATTTTAATAAAATTTTGTATAAGTACTTAATGAAGCATAATAAGTAAATGATAAAAATTTCAAAATGATTGCACTGCTTTAAAGCCCTTTGACCTTTAATAATGTGTGGATGCACCCTGATGTGCTACGCATTCTCCAACGCGCCTAGGCATGCTTCTGATCAGGTGGTCAACGTCCTCCTGTGGTATCTCATTCCAGGCAACCACCAACTCCTCTCGAAGTGCTTCTAGAGTCTGAGGAGGACGTTGCAAATTGAGCAATCTCCTACCCATCATATCCCACACGTGCTCAATTGGGGATAAGTCGGGAGACCTTGGTGGCCATGGTAACAATGTGACATCATTATGTTGAAAGAAGTCTATTGTGACTCTTGCAACATGTGGTCGGGCATTATCTTGTTGGAAAGTTGGATCTGCCAGGGTGTCAAGATAGGGTAAAAGATGGGGTTCTAGAACTTCGTGGATATAACGCTGCGCGTTCATGTTACCTCTGATGAAGATTAAAGGTGACATGGAACCATAAGCTATAGCACCCCAAACCATAACTCCAACAGTGTGATGAACATGTCTTTCAACAAAAAACTGTGGATTCCTCCTTTCACCACGTCGCCTTCTAACCCTGGCACGACCATCGTGCATGCCTAAACAAAATCGAGACTCGTCACTAAAGACAATACTGTTCCATTCCTGATCCCAGAGTGACCGTTGTCTGCACCACTCAGGGCGATTACGTCGGTGTTCTCGAGTTAAAGGGAGGACCCAGTGTGGCCGGTATGAAAACAAGCCAAAACTTCTCATTCGTCGGTAAACACTTCGCGTGCCAATAGGTCTTCCGTGTTCTGCAAACCATTAATTTGCAATGGACCTGGTAGTGGAGAAACGGTCCCTTAAGGCCAGTAATCTTAGGCGGCGATCTTCACGGTCTGTTGTTCTACGGCGGCGTCCAGTGCCCCTTGCTCTTTCCGTACGGCATTCTCGAAGCCATGCCTGACAACACCTAACCACAGTGTCTACACTTCTTTGCACTCTAACTGCAATTGCCCGAAAAGAAAGTCCAGCTTCCCGAAGTCCCACTATACGGCCCCTATCAAACTCACTAAGTTGACGAAATCGTACAGGTCTCCGTACTCTAGGCATCGTAACCGATCGTAAAGGATGTCAAGAACCAAAATCCGCCAACGTTGATTCTTTACTGCGGCTGAAATATTCATTTTTAGAGCGTTAGTGAATTAAAAAAAAGCAGTATAAAAACCGGAATGTCCAACTGATAAGGCTGAACATTTTTTCACTTGATATTTACAGTAAGATAAATACATTCACCAACTTTTATCAAAATAAAACCATTTAAACTGGGTGTTCGGATTTATATGTCACTTAGTATATTATATAGTATAAGCAGTCTCCTTACTTTTGACGATTACTAGTATGTCGAGACGGATGTGATTTATAGATGTGCTGGTCATTATGCGTGTATCCCAATAAATGATGACACTTGGTGATTGGTGATTATTAATATTATTAATATACGAGTAATAAGGACGCTCAACTTTGACAGCCTGCCAGTCCGCCATTTTGAAAGATAGAGATTATATATTCTAGGACTATAAAGTACCCACAAGGAGCTTCAAATTAAGGTATCACATGACCTCCCATTCCATTTAAAAAATTTCACAGTTCAGCGCATATCTGCCATCTCGAAATTCTCGACTGCTATGCTCACTTCAAAATATACTATCAACTTCCTTAGTCCAAATTTAATTTCCCTAACTTGACCCGTTAAAAAAATAAGTAGAGAGTGGGTAACCTTTCTGAAAAGCACTGTATTTTGATCAACAAATATTCAGACTAGGTAGAAGAAGCAGGCCTATGATTTGTTTGTCTCCATAATCTCAGTATGTAGACAGGATAAAACTGCATACTGAGGGCCGTATTGTCAGTCGTTCCTACAATATTGTAGGACACCTTTATGGCCTCCTCGATTTTCATATCCTTTTCTCTTTTTTACTAAGCTGGGGTATTTCTAGATTTATACTATTTCATGTTAGCGCCAGTGCTCTCCTATTGTGAGGCTTTGAATGCTTTTTGAATTGTAGGAAATTTGAGTCTGTCATAACAGATAATATAAATCCTGCATGGAAAATTTGACGCAAGTAGATATTTTTAACATAACCTCATAATAGAGCGCTGACACGGAGCAATAGAAAACTATGAAAATCAAGGAGGCCATACAGGAGTCCTACAGCTGTAAGAATGACTGACGATACGACCCTTAAAGAGGGTTAAACATAAGTTCATTTTTTGACAATTCTGCCGTTCATATTTTAGTATTAATCTTTGAAAGTGCGAGTGTTTACAGAAATTTGTGGTCTTAATCGGTTTCAGGACGTGATACTTCTTGCATAATTTGCAAAGAGCGGCACAAGCCTAGCAAAGATAGATCTTTCCATAGGTAAGTATTATAGTAAGTAAGTATTGTTATGTTGGTACATATTTGTTACTCTGTTAGGCAATGGTGACGAAGTCAAAAGTATGCATTGAATACGCAATTTCTGCAACAAATAATGCAATGTAAACATATATACGTATACCCTATTTCACGAGTATCCATCACGCTTTGACGTCTGATGAGGTGAACAGCTGAGCAGTAAGTGACATTTTTGTGTTAGTCTGCGACGTTGGCAATAATGAACCGCACTGGTATCACGTATCTTGAAAAGTGACATTATGCTGTTTTTTTTGACATTATGTAGGTTTTTCTACAAGATATTAACTTAGCACTTAGTTGTACGTGTTGCACAAACGTCATGAGGCTTGTTATCAATCTTTGGCTCTGATGTGATGTAAAATCTGCTTATGAGATGGCATTACTGGAGGTCTAAGCTGTAAGTTGTATGTGTTGATGATAATTACATTGGGTTCTTATCTCAAATACACTTAATTGAGATTCAAAGCTAGAAATTATTCGTGCATCTACTTTTTCTTATCCATTCTGGAAATTACAAATACAAATTTGCTGGATTTCAAAAATGAGGGAGATAAGAAATAAATATATTCACTATACACTGTCGAATTACAAGCCATATGCATGTTAACACTAATTACACACAACGCGGGCGCGGTGATGATTTCCCGCAATTCTCCTCAGTTTTTCGTAATTTATTACTTTGAACATAACCTCTCATCAGAAAGCACAACATAAAAATAACCCGTCGGGCATAGCCAATAGATATACTTCATTGGCAGCATATTCAGTAATGATTTTCTCACAAAGCAAATATCACTGATTCTATAGACATGCAGACCAATACACATAATCATCCAGATGCGATCTTGCTATTCAACCGACTTTCTTCTCAGAGATGAAAACTACAGACAAGGACCATTTGGCTTCACAAAACATATGCAACCAATAATACGTGTAGTTTAGTTGAGTGATTCCTCCTTAGATAGACGTTCACAACGATCCTAGTGAGCAAACGTGGTATGTTTGCGCCCTAAAGACTACCTAGTTTGCAAGAAGACATCTTATACGTTTTTTTAACATTTTATACGTTTTTTACATGATACCCATACCGGGCGTAAATCTAGTAAAATTTACTTGTAGCTTTTTGTTTTTTGTATGCAAATGAACTTTTCTAAATAAAAGAGCTGTTAGCAAGTACAAAGTGTATCTGTAGCGTATCAAAAACCAAAACAAAATACGGCTCCGACTACCTGACGTTGACCGATCTGTCAGAATTATATGTCCTGTGTCGATGTGGGAAATTTTGAGATATTACTAGATAATCAGCTGTCTTTCTTCGATATTCGTGAAATAGGGTCTAACCTATCCGAATCCGTTGATTCTAATAGATGCTTTCTATCACTTAAGGTATCACTCTACTGTCAGCCAACAAGTAGTGCCATCAGCTGTGGCGATTCTCACACTTTTTTCCGAGAAGTTCACAGACTTTTTTAATCAATAGTCCATTGATCATGAAATGAGCTTCTCAAACTTACCTCAAACAGAATCCTATTATCTTCAAAGCGTGCCACCAGTCGTTGTATTCTTCTTTGGAATCAGGATAAAGATGGAACCACAACATGAAGACGTGATGAGGTAGGAAGCAGATGAAGAACACTGCAAGAAAATATCAAACTGTAAGATAGATAGTTCACACATAATTGTTGAAAATAATTTTTCTGTAATGTGTGTAACTGAGTCAAATTATATACGGAAAAAACGTTTCCTCTCGAATCATCAATCCTACTGATTGTCGAAAAGGCGGTCTAAAGGTACACGTCCAGAGATCCGCATCGCACGCACTGAGATATTCGCACTAAACGCTTTATGGTAGTCCTTTAACCGTATCTGCAGCAATAGGATTATCGCAGCGGTAGCTAATTGCAATCAGATTTACAGTAGGATTTGGATTATCGTACTGGTTGACTAAATATACTAAGTAACATATAAATCCGAACACCCAGTTTAAATGGTTTTATTTTAATAAAAGTTGGTGAATGTATTTATCTTACTGTAAATAACAAGTGACAAAATTTTCAGCCTTATCAGTTGGACATTCCGGTTTTTATACTGCTTTTTTTTTAATTCACTAACGCTCTAAAAATTAATATTTCAGCCGCAGTAAAGAATCAACGTTGGCGGATTTTGGTTCTTGACATCCTTTACGATCGGTTACGATGCCTAGAGTACGGAGACCTGTACGATTTCGTCAACTTAGTGAGTTTGATAGGGGCCGTATAGTGGGACTTCGGAGAGCTGGACTTTCTTTTCGGGCAATTGCAGTTAGAGTGCAAAGAAGTGTAGACACTATGGTTAGGTGTTGTCAGGCATGGCTTCGAGAAGGCCGTACGCAAAGAGCAAGGGGCACTGGACGCCGCCGTAGAACAACAGACCGTGAAGATCGCCGCCTAAGATTATTGGCCTACCAGGTCCATTGCAAATGAATGGTTTGCAGAACACGGAAGACCTATTGGCATGCGAAGTGTTTACCGACGAATGAGAAGTTTTGGCTTGTTTTCATACCGGCCACACTGGGTCCACCCTTTAACTCGAGAACACCGACGTAATCGCCTTGAGTGGTGCAGACAACGGTCACTCTGGGATCAGGAATGGAACAGTATTGTCTTTAGTGACGAGTCTCGATTTTGTTTAGGCATGCATGATGGTCGTGCCAGGGTTTTTTTTTTTTTTTATTTGGCTTTAGGACTAGGCCATGCAGCCAGAAACTAGGTTGGATATTTTATATATTTCTATAATTATGGACGACAAACACACGACGTCACAACATCCATGGCGAAGGCGAGATTCGAACTCGCGGCCCGGCCGACCGGCTGATCAGTAGCACGACACTCTGACCAACGCGGCCAACCGAGGCCCCCGTGCCAGGGTTAGAAGGCGACGTGGTGAAAGGAGGAATCCACAGTTTTTTGTTGAAAGACATGTTCATCAAACTGTTGGAGTTATGGTTTGGGGTGCTATAGCTTATGGTTCCAGGTCACCTTTAATCTTCATCAGAGGTAGCATGTACGCGCAGCGTTATATCCACGAAGTTCTAGAACCCCATCTTTTACCCTATCTTGACACCCTGGCAGATCCAACTTTCCAACAAGATAATGCCCGACCACATGTTGCAAGAGTCACAATAGACTTCTTTCAACATAATGATGTCACATTGTTACCACGGCACCAAGATCTCCCGACTTATCCCCAATTGAGCACGTGTGGGATATGATGGGTAGGAGATTGCTCAATTTGCAACGTCCTCCTCAGACTCTAGAAGCACTTCGAGAGGTGGTTGCCTGGAATGAGATACCACAGGAGGACATTGACCACCTGATCTGAAGCATGCCTAGGCGCGTTGGAGAATGCGTAGCACATCAGGGTGCATCCACACATTATTAAAGGTCAAAGGGCTTTAACGCAGTGCAATCATTTTGAAATTTTTATCATTTACTTATTATGCTTCATTAAGTACTTATACAAAATTTTATTAAAATAAACCCATTTAAACTGGGTGTTCGGATTTATATGTCATTTAGTATAAATTCAAATACATCTATGCGATCAATGTAGTCAGCAATCCGTGTGCGTAATCGTCAAAAAACCTATTCGGTTTGCTGGAAGCACCATCCGTCATAAGTTTTTGTTTCTATCGGAGCAGACTCATAGACAGAAGCCTAACTACCGGGGCATTGCGACTGCTATACGGAGGTTAGAGATACCTTGTTATTCCAATTTTTTAACTTGTTAAGGTCACTAGAACCGGGAACACTTTTCAGGCACAATCTCCACGTCTCAGGAACAGACACGGTTAGGATGGGTGGTCGAAGTCTGGCAAGTCTGTCTGGCAGGCTCGTCATGCGACGGCATCACGGAGGAAAGCTCTGAGGAGCAAAGCCCGTGGTCATAACGGTAGAAGAGAACCAGAACTGTTTTTTTTTTGACAGGGGGAAGCTTTTATAGCCAGTCTCCAGATTCTCCAGAAATGGCTAAACTCACTAACACATCAGCATTTCTTCATAGTGGGTAGCGTTGCGCTAGGTTCTCATACCGAGCAAAATAGAAACCTTCTACTTGGTTCCTTGGTCTATTTTTTTTCGTGTATCCTACCAAGCATGATTTGGCTCACTATTTGTTGAATATAAACCCATTTTTCCTTGCGTATGTGCGTGGCGAAATTGTCAGCAATGAGCCTCTCGCCGAGCGTTAGTTCGAGCTGGTAGTCGACCCACTTACCACATTGGAGTAGGTGATTAGGAGTATCCTTCTCCCCATTGCAATATATGCAGATCGCGTACTCTCTCTTTCCTACCCTCTGTAGGTGGCTGTCAAAACCCCGTGAGGAACTGTGCGCTATATTATTCTATCCGCATCGCCTTTTTGTCAATCCAAGTTTTAATATCAGGGATCAGCCTTCTGGTCCATCTCTCCTGCCATTCGATAAAAAGCGTTGCTTGTAAATGGCGGGATACCAGCCACCACAATGTTCGAGATACTCTGGAAGCTCTATTACCTTATAAGCAGAGCTATAGGTATGTAGTTGTATGGCTCGATATTAGATCCTTCTTTGAATCCGGCTGGAGAGTAAATTCCTAATAATCTGGGAAAGTATCGGATGCATCAGACATCTGAAAGAGGCACGAAAGGACTGGAGCGAGCTCCGCTGCACATGTTTGATGTAACGGAACAGGATGTCAGGTCAGAAAGAGGTCAGTGGATACATCTGCATTTTATGCAGAGCCTTCCAAAATTCGTTAATTCTCGTGCGGACCTGTATACCCGCAGGGTTATTTCGTAAAAACCTATATAAAGTAAAAAATCGGTAAAATGTCAATTTGTGCACTAGATAGCGGCTGGTTCATTCTGCGTCAACGACAAGTGTGCATGAAGCGTCTGTTAGATAGTTCAAAGGTGAAATCTACATAATGTAAAAATAAGCAGACGTAATGTCATAAAAATCGATATAATTTAATTTTTTCTGTGACGGAAAAAAGTTTGAAATTTGATCTCTGTTGACAGGTAACACAATGTCACTTTTTATGAAAACACTTTTTCACCGGGAAAAAAATTAGTACTTTTTTCCCGGATATTGTATAAACTCATAAGCAAAAATAGATATTCAATTTCAGAATATTTTATTATACAATAAAGTTACATTTCCTTTATATCAAAAGTTTGATTACTAGATGTGCATTGGTGTTATTTCAGCACTACCACAATAAAAATAAGCCAATACACCGTCTCCGACAAAGGACTGCATGTATTTTTCACCTTCCATTCCATGAATCTTGAATACGCGGTTTCGTAAAATATCCGCGATTTAGCTGGCAATAATTTTTGTGACGCTACTTTGGCTACCTCTACTAATTCCGGTGGATTCAAAGAAAACTCGGAATCAGACATTTTTTACTTTATAGTATTAAGAATAACTTCTAAACACCCAATAGGTTCACAATTTTTCAATTATATCACAAAATTAAATTGACAGTTATTTGATTACTTCAAAAGTTTACTCAGCAACGCAGGTTTAAATGTCGCAACAGAGCCTACTAATTTCAAGATTCAAGTTTCGCATCGATAATTTTCTGACTTAAATATTGTAATAATATAATTTTTCAATATTAAATCGTCGTTTTTCCCGTCACAGAAAAAAATTGTGTATTACACGCGCGAAAAATACTAGATTTTAGCTTTCGGTTTTTTGTGACAATACCACCTCAAGCTAAAATCTAGTACTTTTTTCCCTTGTATAGTAAATAACTATTTTTATGTTACGTAATACGAGAGGCATACCTTCCCCCTTCTGACAGCTGAAATTGACCTCAACGAAGTCACCCATTAATTATTTTTTCTCCTACCATTTTTATCAGTATAAACTGGCAAGTCAAGGTAAATATAGTCAGCTCTCGCTGGAATTTATTAATCGTTTGAGTGGATTGCTAAAGTTACAGGTACTTCAAAGGAAAAACTTCCAATTAAAGCCTATTTATCAAAATCAGTCACGTAGGTCCTCCAGAAAAAAGGGTGGACGGATGAAATATCATCTGAAAAGCACTTTCCAAATATCCTTTCAAAGTTACGTCGCACGCCACACCCGTGTTAAAGCTGTACAAATAACGACGCATTTCTGGCCGAAAGTGAATTTCTAGACACGTACGATTTTCTGGTAGCGGAAAAGAAGTTCCAGTTGGGTTTTATTTACTCCAGGGTTACATCACATTTATCGTAGAATGACCACTGAAGCCTTAATATCGCACTCCTATATGGTGGAAAATATGGCTGACAACATGGCAAACGTGAGTGAGGTTATGTGAAATGCTAAAATATATACATATATCAATTTAATTGAGGTTGTCAGACCCAGATGCTAGGGTATCAGCGGCAATTTTAAAGAGTATTCCTGTAGGTACTGCGCGTTTTTCTTTTTTAATGGGACCAACAATTTTGTAAACATTTTATGATTGTTCTTATTATCAGAATGTAGAAGTATCAGCACGAATATTATGTAAAAAAACCTATAAAACGTCAAAAAACCTATAGGATGTCATCTTGCAGACTAGGTAGCTTTTATGGGACAAACAGTCATTCCATGTTTGCTCACTAGAAGAAAAAGTGGA